TTGCGACTCGCTGCACTCCGCACGGTGCCTATTGTGCATAACATGACCCAGGATCGCCGGGTGCCCGACGCGCAAGCTCATTATGGGCCGGTCCTGCGGCAATGCCACGCTGGTTCAGGAGGCACCGGAACGCAACGTACCGACCCTCCGCAGCAGCCACGGAGTTCACGTCCCGCCGCGACCAGAGCCGCTCAGCCACAGCGGCCGCGCGGGGCCACATGGTGTTCAGCGCCACACTGGCATCCACAAACTCACCCCACTGGCATGCCTCACCACCAAGCACCAGAGCACACTCCTCATCCGTCAAGGAAGTGCAAGGCTCAAACTCGTATGCTGCGTCCCATTTTGTGCCGTCCCAGTTCAGATACCAGTGGTGTTGGATGCTCACCAGTGCACGGTAGCCATGGGACGTCACATCCTTCAGGATCGCAGATGCGTTCTGTGCAAGCCATTGCTGCACCACCGTGCTCTTGTCAAGCTTTGTCCCGAACGTGGTCCACATCTCTTCCCAGCCAACAACAACGCGGTTCAGCCGACCAGACACGTGGGTCTCCACGTTCTTTGTGAAATTTAGTAGGGCCTCTCGCAGTGTTATATTGTGCTCCGCCAGCCACTCCATGATGTATGGGTTTTCCTCCCAGCACCGTGTATCAACCTCGTCCCCGCCAACGTGCAACATTCGCTCAGGAAACAGCTCGGCGATCTCCCGGAACAGATCCTCCACAACCCGATACGTCTTTTGTTTTGTGATATCTAGAACCCATGCATTCAGATTCGGATCGGTACACATGGGCAGAGGGCATATCTCTGGCATGCCAGCGCACATTGCAGACGTGTGAGCCGGTGAGTCAAATTCCATCATCACACGAACACCGCGCTCCATCGCGTAGTCACGCACCTCCTTCATGTCCTCGATGCTGAACCGCTCAGCAGGGGAGAAAGCACCATGCTCCGCAAGCTGCGGGTACTTCTTGCTCTCCATAGGGAACGAGTGTGCATCTGTGATGTGCCAATGGAAGACGTTGAACTTTGCGTACGTCATTGAGTCGATGATCTGCTTAAGCACAGGAACAGGTATAAAGTGCCGGCTCGTGTCCACCAGCATTCCACGGTGCGAGAAGCGTGGGAAGTCCTCCACGCGCCACGGTGCGTGGTGCAGCTCGTACCGATGCGAGCTGTAGTTGAACGAAATCAGCTGTGACAGTGTCTCCAGGCCGTGGTAGCAGCCGTAGATCTCCTCGCACTCCACCATGATGCCATTCACGCCGGCTGACAGTCGGTACGCCTCAGAGACGCCAAGCTGCAACGGCACAGACACATTCCACGCACACACAGCGACCACAGACACCGCCTGCACGTCCTCGTCAAGCTCAGCTGCGCGGTGCGTGAAGGTCCGCTTCACAAATCGGTCAAACGCACTTGTCAGATTCTCAGAAGAGCCACATGTGGAGGACAGCCGCATATTTGCACCATCAATTACAACGGTCCCTGTGCCGTTCGTGTAGTTCTGTGGCATCGGCCAGATAGGCGGGAACGCTGCATGCACGACGCAGGCTGCAAGCAGCTGTGCCACCACAAGCAGCCCAAGTGCGACACCTTGGCCACTCATTTTACCTCTGAAAACACTGTTTTGGGTGTAAGCTCAAACACTCTGCTCCTTTCCTAGTATACCTCACACATCACCAAGAAGAGAAAAAAAGAACAACAGTAGAATCACTAACCAAAGCAAAAGGCAAACGCACAAAAGGCCAAACAAGGTCGGCGTTGACCACCAATACTCCACCAAGAAAACACGTAAGAAGAAAAACGACCCACACCACATTGGGATTATTATTTCATATTATTTTCCTATCCGTTTTCTTTTGTTTGATGTATTTTTACATTATAAATGTTTATATATCCGTCTTCCTTGATCTTTTCTCTTTTTCCACTTTGTTAAGGACCCATATTTATTCATTCCCCATCAGAAAAAAATATCTGGTTTTTTTTTGCCTTTGCATATTATTAATTCTAAAAATAGAAATCCTATTCGTTTCTCTTTGTTGCTTTATGTGCGCTTCAAATAAAAATAAAAATAAAATAAAATAAAATTGTTTAGAGTTACTATTGGGTATTAAAAAATCAAGTGGGGTTTGCGGTCCGCGAGATCTGTAATGAGCAAACCAAAGAAGGAGTTGGCCCATGCAAACCAGGGTCGAGTGAAGTCAGTAACGTTATCCATGTTGAACGCCTCGTGCATAAAACCCGTATTGTGGGCTGACCTCTTCAGGGTTTCCAGTACCTCAGTAATCTCACTGTCATCATGCGAAGTGAGAGCCTGCATGATCAGTGCGAGAGGCCAAATCATGTTTTTGCCAGTGTGGGGAGAGCCGATACCTTTTCCTGCTTTGCCACTGAAGAACCATGGGTTTCTGTCGCTAAGCAGAAACGCTCGTGTTCTTTGGTATAAGGCGTTGTGCGTGTTGTATCCCAAGAACGGGGTTGATAGAAGGCTTGGATAGTTCGCATCATCCATCATTACCGCGTTGCCAAGTCCATCAACCTCGTAAGCGAGTATTTCGTCATTCGACTTCGCCACCTTCAGACCCTCCTCTACGAGGCGGCGTAAATGCCTTGCTTTGCGTTGTATATCACCAATCCGTCCACTGTATTCGGGAAAGGTGTCTGCCATCGTACCGCAGAGTTCCATGAGTTGCTGCAAAGCCACTGACGCCATGATGTTGGATGGCACGAGGAAATCCATGGACGTCATATCGTCAGATGGGCGGAAGGCTGAGCGAATCATACCAGTGTACCCTGTAGCGTTTTTGCGAGGATAGTACTCAAAGACACCATGAGGATATCTGCGGAAGAACATGTATGGATAAATGTTGTCCTGCATTTCAGTGGACTTCTGCTGGTCACTCATTGTGTCGAGAATTATCTCCATGGCCTTTATCCATTGTCGAACAACCGGTTGGAGGAACGTAACGTTGCCTGAGTCTGCTGTGACAACCTCATAGTTCAATTTAATGACAGCACAGAGGGAATCCAATTCGTACTTGCCTTCCCACACGGTGGGTGGCATCGGTGGAATCCTGTTATCAACCATGTAGTGGTTGTCGTTAGCAAACTCATTAAATCCGTTGGCGTAGGGGTCAATTAATACAGATTCCAAATGACGTCGTACCAACCCATGAAGCATCTCCATTAGCTTCTCGTCCCGCTTTGCGAAACGCATATATGGGAGCACTTGAAACATGGAGTCCCGCAGCCACATGGCGTTAATATCACCAGTAATGATGAAAGTGTCCTGCTCAGACGCCCGCAAAACCGTCGTATCCAATGTGCTTGGAAAGCAGTTTTCAAACAATGTGGCAAGATCCTTGTCCTTCATACGTTTGGTATAGTTCGCAATTACCTCCTCAATCGTGTCAGAGTGGTATTTGCGTTCCGTCCGGTTGGGCCGCGCAAGAGGAATATTAATCTCTTCTGCACCACATGTCTGCAGCACCCCGCACAAAAGAAGTGCGGACAAACACACCCAGTATAGCATAATGATTAAACTGTGAACTGTTCTTTTCACTGTCTTTCCTTTATCCTATTCTAATGTCACAAAAAAAGAAAAGAAAACATGAAACATTAGGGGTGATTATTTTGTTCCCTTACCCGGTGAAAGCAATAGTAAGGCTATCAAACCTCGAGGGGGCCCTTGCAGAGAGCTCACCTTTCCTATCTTGCTCCAGCGGGTTCCTATGGGCTAAAAGAAGAAAAACAATTGCCAGGGTGTACAATCTTAGAGAACCATTTGCACCCGAGTACTGAAGTAAAGTGCATCAGAAGGGATCTTCATCACTTCCTTCGCCACATTACTTCTCGCATTTGATATACATAAAAACAAATACCCAAATACACAAATAATACACGCAATATCTTCAAAAACACATCCCCAGTTAGTAACGTCGGTGTGCAAGCTTTAACAACATGGACCATGCATCCCAAATAAATGGTTTAAAGGGAAAAAATAGTAGTTATGGTTTTCATCCATTCCTCCTCCTTTTGACAAGTATTGCAAGACTATGTACACTTATCGTATCCACACCCTTATTATTATTATTATTATTACAAATAAAGTTTTTTTTTTAGAGAAAGCTACATTCCGTAGCACCCACAGACGTTATTCAAACATGAAGACTGGCATCCCTGACCTTTCCTAAATGACACAAGAAGTATCATCTGCCCAAAACCAATCATCTGCTTGACACCCACCCAGTCCCCTCTCAACACGTTACTGTTGGTTCAAGCACCTAGACAGAGTCTTTCAAGACCAGGACATCCAATGCATAGATTGTATACACTACAGTACCAGTTTATTTATTTGAGTTGTTTTCGGTGGTATGTAATAACCCACATGAAGATGCACCAACCAACAAACGAGGGGTTGTCACAATTACATCAATGGCCACATTTGCATTGAGGCCGCATCACACCTTCAAACACGTTTCTCTCAATGTTTACAAACCTCCTTCACCGCAGACAAGGGAAGCACCCCCATCGTCTCACTTCAACTTTCAAAACCTATGCACCCACAAACATAACACTAAAAAATACTACACTCCGGTTTGGTTGTACAACCTTCATTTCTTAGAATTATTTCTTTTCTATTGTGTCCGTCCTGTTTTTTTTTTCCAAGGTATCCAACTTATTAGGTTTTTGATGAAGATTGTTGATTCTTTTTGTTATAAAAGGGTGGTGGGAGCTCTTTTGGGGACGCACCTAGTTGTACTCAGAAAGGAAATACCCCACAATAGTTAAAACAGAAATCACTGGACAATTGATCGGTCTTTTTTGCCTCACTAAAGCATTCATAACAATCTACTGAAAAAAACATCAAGAGGTAGAAAGAGTGTACTATTGCAGGCATACGAAGCGCCATATTAAGAATAATCTCACATGCTTCCAAGTACATAATGAACCTGTCTCATCACACACTTCTTGAGAATTGTGGTTGTAGAATAAAGATAGAGGGTCATGTGTTGAATCACGTTTTATTTTTTTCATATTTCTTAATCCGAAGTGCTTTGGAGAAACGAAAACCATTAGATAGGTTATATCATTAAGCTTTAATAACAAAGACCAAACAAAGTATTATTCTGTTATAATGGGTGTATTTTCTTTTTATGGGGAATAAGTAATCTGAATATTTTTCAGATTACTTATATATATAATCCCATTTCCAGAGCACTCAAGAAGCGCTTTCAGAGGAAAGGATGAGAAAACAAATTTTGCGATCCTGTCAAAATCGTTTAGAGCTGATATTGGTAGGCAACTGTACATACTGGGCATCAACTATACCTCAACCCTATTTTATTCATTGGCAATTATATCTGAATAGGTCGTATTTATCTTCAGGGCAAACCATTCAGAAGCCGACAAAAAAAAAGGCATCACAGATGAAGTTATACGTTATTTGATCAGTCCTCAACTTCAGTTGTTTCAGATGGAGCACTCGACATTTCACGTCTTATTACTCGACATGGTAAAAACCATGATTTTCAAAATAAGGAAAAAAATGCGATAAATAACTTGCGCAAGAACGTTTTCCTCTTATCTTTTGCTAATCAAAGGAATAAAGTGCAAAATAGTATTACAATGAGTTCGAGATTATATTCCGCTGCCCCTGATCCCGGCAATGATAAGTCCCACGAAGGACAAGGTGTGATTGGAAGAACCCTAGAAGAGTTGGTCAAAAGCCATGCGAAACAAACAAAGTAGGGAAAGAAGAGCCATATTTCCTCACGAAAACAAGATGGAGAGCGACGCCATCATTCCAAGAATTTCTGAGAGCTTTTGTCTGTTCCCACAAAACACGTACACACACGCACACCAAAAAAAAAAAAAAAGAAACGAGAATAACAGGAGATTTGCTTTCAAAGCGCTTCCCGGGGCGGCGCCGCCAGAGACCCACACCGGGCATACGCACAGTCCCGGCAAGGAGACCCAGAAAAGCCACACTTGCGCCGGAACCGGCCAGCAATAGAGAATTGGGGAAGCCCCGCCGTCGGCGGGGGCGAGAGCCCAAATACCTCCAGCAAGCGGTTTCCGCGGTGCGGGGTTGGGGTCCCACGGTTTTTGGTTTTTTTTTTTTTATTATTTTTTTTCCGGCGGCGGGTTATGAGGCGGGTGTTCCCCAGACGCGCGGTTGTGAGGGAGTTGATGGTTTTTTTTTTTTTATGTTGTGGCGTGTTCGGTTTGGAGTCTTTTTTTTTTTTTCTTGTTTCATAGAGGGGTAATGTGCATCGGCTTTGCGTCTTTTTTTTTTTTTATTTTGGGTTTTTAACCGTGAGAGCTCGAAAGGAAATTGAAATATGAAGTTTTTTTTTTTACTTATGATAGTTATGATAGGATCAATTGTAGTATGTGCCAATGAATGTCGTGTTAAAAGCAATGATTCGGATACTTTCATGTCTTTGGAGTATCTTGCACACTATGGAAATGTTACGGCCCATTTGGATGAGAAGGAATTTACCGTTGGTGTGAGTTTTTGTCAGCCTGATGAGTATTCTTCGGATGGGCTGAAGTGCGGTCCAGGGTATATGATTATTTACTATGAAGGATGTGGGGCTACCTTTACTTCTTCAGGAGAGCTAAGCGAAGAAAATGGAACCATATTATTTAATCTTACATCACAAAGCAATTTTGTAGCAAATATGCAGGTGGAATGCGATAAAATGGTAAACGGTTTGCAGGTATTGGAGGCCAATTTGACCTCATCAAAAACTTATTTTTTTCGTTTCGCTTCTATGACTGTGTGTCCAGGCTATAAAACCAAAGGTGGTGATGATTTTCTTTCTAAAGGTGCTATAATTGTTATTGTCTCAGGAATAGTGGGTGTCGTAATTGCAACAGCGCTTATATTTCAGTGGAAGTCTAGAAGTCGCTCTGGCGAAGATTATACCCAACTTATTTAGTAAAATTCCATTATAAAGAGAATTATGAACATAAATCTATCTTCCCTCTATCCCTCCCTCTTCTAGTTATTTTTATTTATTTATATTTTAGTGCATTTAATTCGACGAATGCTGTTTTATTATTATTATTATTATTATTATTATTATTATTATTTGTTTTATGAAGAGACGTGGTATAGTGATGGTATACACTCTTCATGGTATTTCTCTTCAGATTTGTTTCTCTTTTTAGGCTTGTATCGTGCGTTGTTATGGTGGCAAAGTGTGAAGTTCACATTTCAGGAGTAACATTCTCCTACCTAGTCTCATCCTTATTGGGTTCAAATCCTACAGTAAAACACCAGTACTCCCTTTTTGGTAACTGTGATATTCGTGAGGATGATAGTGATGAAGCAGAGAGTACAAAAATTATTGAGGTTGTTCTGACAACTGTATTACCCGCAGGGGTGCCTGCACCCAAGGGTCCTGCTTTTCTAGGATATGCTTCGGCACGTAGATGTGGTCCTCATAAACTATCATACGATGACACAAAATTTCTTCTTGAGGGGACTTCTCAGCTTGATATTACACATGAGGATGGACCCTTTCGATGTCCATGTTTTTTGCTCTTGTTAACAATTTCTTCAGGTATTTCTTCAGTCAATGGTACAATCAAGGTAGAGTACAGTATTTTTCAGGGTGTGGGCTCCGAATATTCCAACCTTACAAATAAGAATGCAATTCCTCTTGTAATTGACAATATGGTAGATTCTCTTTCGGGTTTTGTTCGTCTTGCTAGCTTGGGTTCCCATGGCTCAAGACCTAAATCCAATTCATTTTCATTGCGAAATTCTCCACAAACTGTTGGAGAGACTTTTAGGTGTTCTCTTGCAGAGCTGGAGAGAGCAAGTAATAAGGAATATGAACTTCTTCAGCGCATAATGAATCTGGAGAAGAAACTTCAAAAAGAGACAAACTTCCACTGAGATAGAGGGAAGGGATTTGGGAAATATTATTGGTTTTCTTGCTTTTTTCTTTTGATTATTGGCATGAATTTTCACTGTTTATCTATTTCTGTATTTGCTGTGTAATTTTTCTTTTTGAAATGTCTTTATTTTTATTTCTAGTTTTTTTTTTTTCCAATATCATGATCGTGGTACTTTTTTAAATATCGATTGTGGCCGAATTCCTTTTAAAGTGAACGATTTGTTATGCTGGAGTAGAATGAAACTTTATTACTAGGGATTTAATTGGTGTAAAGAATGAAATGAATCTTTTTTATGGTTATAACCTAGAAACCAATTAAGAGTCTGAATCATGCTTTTAGCATGCGAGGTTATGTTGTGATTGTGAAAGTTTGTTTTCACTTTACTACACTTTTTCATATCGTATAGCAGCTTTCTAAGATGTTTTGTATGTTACCCATGGATACAGTTTAATTGCTCTTTTTTTTTGTTGTTGTTGTTGTTTTTTTATTTTTTTTTTTTGCAACGAAAAGCTTTTATTCAAATATTTGTGGTAATAGCAGGATCTTCTACAACTCTGAAGGTAAGTGACCATGGTGGGGTTCCATTAGTCAAAGAGAACGTTTCGATGATTACATTGAGTGTTTGTAGATTATTGGAATTTTGACTTTTGCATAATGTAAAGGCATCAAAATAAAATATGAAACCCTTAATGCTGTTAGCGAGTATGTTCATATTCATTCTGGTTTGTTCCATAGTTAGATTTATCTTGTTTTTATTTGATCTCGCTGTTATTAACAACTTGTACAAAAAGGCGATGTTTTCCTTATGATGGGGACGTTTTGTTAGACTATATGTCAAAAGGAAATTATACTTTCCCCAAGTACACTCTTAAATAGATTGTATTACTGATTTTATTGAGGAAAATTATAATGGGGGTTTTCCTAAACATTCAAAAAAGATGATTAAGGGGAGTGGTGGGGTATATCAAAATGCGTCTCACATAGTTCGTAAATCAAGTGGAACAGTGTATATTGGCTTTCTATCAGCTGCACATATGGATGTTGCTGAAGAAGAATCCTTCATGTCATGGCAAGTGATGATGTTAACCTTGAAGCCGGGATAAGTACTACTTTAATATTTCTTCATCTGCTACGGTATATTTGAGTATCCCATTGACAATAATGAGCTGAGTTTTTTTTTTTTTTTTTCTACAGTTACTTAGTAATGGAGGTATTGGGGATGGAGTGAGATCGGTAGAAGAGAATATACGTCTGGAAAGTATTGTAAAACTGTCTGCAAGGCGGTTAGTCCTGGAAATTGCCTTTATTTAACCGTGAGGAATCATTCATTGCGATAGCAAATGTTAGAATGGTCTTCTCTTGATGTACGAAGGCACTATGAAATAATCTAATTTTGGGCTCTCAAATCGGATTAGATCAAATATGAGTGTAAAAACGATGGTAGGTACTCGCCTAATTATTATTATTATTATTATTATTATTTGGCCGTTGGGATTTTATTGGTAACTTACTTTATTCTGCTGAAAGTGGAGGCAATGAACATTTAAGGAAAGAAAGCAATATTTTGAGTATGGATTTGCGTGGTTTAAACTGATGAACTATGCTGCATCACTCTAGAGAGTGATGTGTACATACAGGTTTTTTTTTTTTGTTTCTATGCCACCCCTCTGGAGTGGTCTCTCCTATCCTCGATACCTTGAAGAATAATATGTTGATTTTATTATGAACTGTTGCGTTTCACATTCTTTTTGACGGGGAAAGCAAATGATGAACATTTTGAACATTTACCTATTTTTTTGTAGTTGGTAGGCAATAGGTTATTGCCAGGGAAAATTACCTTTGCATTTTAAGTTCCTTTTCTTACTGACTAGTTTTCTTTTTTCCTCACCTTAACATTTGAAGGAACGAATATCTGGGTGTCTGTGTCTATGTGTGTGCTTCTCATATATACGTATATATATTTTTTTTTTCGTTTTTGTGTGTGTATGTTTTTCTGCATAGCTTATCTCATGTAATGATACTTTCTATTCCGATTGCAAATAGTAATGACAGTTCCTATATCACGGTAACAAGAGGGGATTGGGAGCGCTCAAAAAACAGGGTATACCCTTCAGTAACAGCCTCACCCTCAGGAGGGTGTTTTTTGGTAAATGATGGATTTCAAACTGTAATGTGTACATTGGAGCCTGAAGACACTTACCGCGTCCATGGAACCTTTTTCTTCAGACAGAATCGACATGATTCCCCAGTGCTATCTTTCATTGATACTAATCAAACTGTAAGTGACTTTGATTCTTTACAACATTCAAAACCAACTTCAGTATCGGTAAGAAACATACATATTAGTGGCCTAGGAGAAATAGTTCATGTCTCATTTTTATCCCCAGATAAATTTGTACTGGTTGCATCTGGGGGTTGTATAGGATTTGTAATTACCACCCCGCAATCTTGCATTTCCACAGGTTACTCTGCTCGTTTTAGCAACTTGTGTGATATTATGTGTGGTTGCGGGGTACCTGATTCACCTTTCCTTGTCGTGTTAACTTTACAAGGAATATGTGGTGTTGTAGATGTCAATAACAGCGTACTCTTAAGTCTTACTAGACAGAATATTATTCTTGAACTAGGTCCCCCGACGTCATGTGCGGCTTTTTTAGAAAACGGGAAAGAAGAAATTCATATTTTAGCGACTTTTCCATCAACTCAGGTGGTGCAAACATTTTCTGTATCGAAACAGGCCTTAAGTACTGATCTTGAGGATAAAGGAAACTTTGCTGAGGTGTTTTTCAAACCTCATCCATTGAGTTCATATGCCTATTCTTATGTTAACAAGTTTGGAACATCTTTTCTTGTGACTTCGGTTTGGCGTGATATAGTTCAGTTTTCTGTTTGGAACGGAGAGAAATTGCGGAATAAAATTCTTCTCAAAAATGAGATGAGCGTTCCTTACGTTTCTGGATTATGGGTAGGTAATGTTTTTGTGATTGCTCGTGCAGATGGCATGGTATTACCCTTCTCTGTTCGATTTGATGAGGGAAAGTTTGAAGAGCTTGAAGTTATACCACAAAAACATATTGCCCTCACATCCTCTTGCTGTACCTTTATACATGGTAATTCCGATTATTTCTTGCTATTGAGTCTGATTAATTTGGAATCCCTATGGAATGGCACACCAGGTGGAATATGTGTAACTGATAGCAACAACCAAAATCACTTATTAAAATTATGCGAAGAGCGGCAAAACAAAACGGACACACTTCTTATTGATATTACTTTTTTCTGCGAAAATATTGCAGTAATCAGTGTAAAACGTTCTGGGGATTGTTTGGCATTTGTTCCTTCAGGCAATGAACTAAAAACCTTATTTTTGGCTCATGAAAATGAAGCTGAAAGTGTTACTTCTTGCTTGCTTTATAAAAGGCAAGAAAATATTTTTGTTACGGGACATGTACATGGAGGCATACATGTTTGGGTTTCTGGAAAGAAAAAATCTGTCATTGACATGGTACACACAGGAGTAGTAGATAAAATTATCTATTTAACAGAAGGAAATGAACAGTTAGAATGTGACTTTATTTCTGTTTGTACAGAACGTGGAACTGTAGCTCTCCATCACTTTGAGACGTTTCAGTGTACTCGTATTTTACAAGCACCATGTACACCTCTTACTAGTTTAATATGGGATCAACAAGCCGAATGTGCGTTTATGGTTTCTGGAAATATTGGAAACCTCTGGCATATTCCCACCTGTCGTTTGGAGCGTGTTTTTTATGCATCATCGCTTATTTCCAAAACCTCAGGTTACCGAGACCTTTTGGCTTGTAGTTCAAATATTGATCCAATCACAGTGGATAGAATTTATGCTTGTGGGGACATTCACTTCTCTTTGACATTAAATATTTTTTCACTGGTAGATATTTTGATCCAACACACTGCGAGTAATACATCACCTGCATGCCGACTGGCGTTATCCGTTCTATTTTGTAACTCTCCAAGTATGAATTCAGAATTCCCTGAGTTACTTAATTTGTCTAAACCTGGATTGGGCGGAGGTTTTTTTGAAATCGGTACTCTCTGTGCTGGACAATCTGCGAAGTACCTACTAGCCATTATTCTTCTTATAGAAGCGTTAAAGAAATCCCCAGAATTAACTTGCTCTATTGATTCAAAAGAAATGAAAGCGTTATGTGAGTCAATGGTAAACTCGGGTCATGTTGAACAAGCACCTGAACCTGAAGATGTTATTATTCAAGCTCTTCCACTTCTTTTGCGTTTGCCAGAAGTCTCTAGGAAGGCTATTCGTGCCTTAATAAGGGTGGCAGGGGAGCAACTCACATCTACTCAAGTATTAGATTTACTGGAGAAGTTACACCATATTGCTTCCGATGAATCTTCTGTTAGTCGTTTGTTTAATATTTCAAAAAAAATGAGTGATATGGATATGTGCTGTTATAAAATGTTTATTCAAGTAGTAGTTCTAAGCGAACTGAAGTATGATAATAATGATAATTCCGTAAATTGTACCATAGAAAAGTTAAGGACGATTGCATCAGAATTTACAGAATTCTTAGTTAATAGGGAAGAGAGAAGTTCCTTAATACTTTTGCTTTACATTCTTAGAGAGTATTACCACTATCTTGCGGTAAACATACTGAATAATACAAAAGAAATTGTCGATGCGATAGGTACCTTGGCATTTGAAAAAGAAGGAGAAGTTTGTAATGCAGCTGTAAAAACTCTTGTGAGCATCGCAACTGTTGAAGGAAAAGGATTTTTTGATAATCGTATGAATCAATGGTATAATGAAAAACGTTCGTGGAGACCCCGTATTATTACATTTTTTGGAAACTTTATTGAATCTGTTCCGGTTCAATCATATTCTTTCTTTTCAATTATGATGAGGTTTTTTCTACGTGCACTTGATCCTCACAATCCAAACAAGGAAGAACGAAACTCATGTGTAATGCCTGTAACACATGTAATTAGACTAGCTGTAGTGTACCTTCCAAACGTATCCTTTCAGCAGCACCTGCAGTATCTGGCTGTTGGAAATAAAGACGGTGTGGTACAGGTTGTAAATATGAAAACAACAGGGATTGTTGCTTCTTTCCATTCACACAAAGAGGGAATCCTTTGCGTTTCATACAGTAGCAATACTTCCAGTCATGACATAGCAGTCCTAGGAGAAAATATGGAAACTGTGAAAATATGGAGAGCTAATCGTACTGGAAGTGTTTTAAGTGCGATTTTTGCAGGTCCTATGGTTGAATTTCGGCTGAGATTTACAGTAGATATTCCTAAATTTGATCGAGACTCATCAAAAGACTCTGAGCATCTTTCATTGATTACCAAATGCAGACTTAGGTGGCTTTCGCCACATTGTGTGGAGCTAAGTTCACCATGGCATGATAGGATTCAACTTTCAGTACAATAGTTTCAAAGATGATATTACTTTCCTTTTCTCTACTTGAGTAACTCAAGGGGAAAGTTATTGTTCTTTTTTTTTCCTCTCTTATCTCTTCCGCCTTTTCCTATTTCTATTTCTATGTATGTATTCTGTATTTATTGCCTTTGTTTCCCTCCCTTCACCAGCTAACTCTTTTTTTTTTTGCTGTTTTCGTTTTTCACCGCTTAATGGAAAGTGAAAAAAAAAAAAAAACAAGGTTATGTCTGAGGACTCTGAGCTTCCATGGTTTGCTCGTCTGGTTAACCATGTTCTTACGCCCGGATCTGCCTTGTCGCCCACAGTCTGGATAGCGTTCAATGTTGTGATGTTCGCACTATTCTTCTCTTGGATGATGATAGTCATTGCCATGCCGGATAACATTCACGTGTGGGCGTTTGGTTTCCTTGGAGCTGGTTTAGCCTTCTCTACGAACTGGTTTTTTAAGGAGCTTTTCGGTCGCGGACTTGATACCGAGATAGAAAAGAAAGATACTGTCTCAGACCATTCGGAGTTACATACCAAAAAGGAAAACTGAACTACATTGAAGAATAGTAATGAGGCGTTTTTTTTTTTTGGGGGGGGGGTGGTTGTATTCAAGACCACCTTTTGTTAGTGGTGGTACCGGTGTGAGTGTGGGTGTATATGTCTGTAAAGACTCTTAAAGTTTGTTTTTTCACTTGAACCCCTTCACAAATGCAATTGCAATTGCTGAAAGTAAGAGGACTGAGGTTCCTTCCTTTCTTTCAGTAACATTGCTATTGTGTTTCTTGATGATGCCGGCAGTTAAATAATTACAAAAAAAAGAGTAAGTCCTATCAATATGCTTGCCACTTCTGTTCTTACCACGCTTTGGTATTTCTAATTGTATGCCTTCTTTTTTTTTCCTTTCTAAGAGATTGTATGTTAACCACATCAAAGCGCCTTCCAAAGGCACTTTCACCGTATGCGCAGGCACTAAAGCATGTTGCGCTTAGAGGTGCCGTTGCCTTTGGCCCAAGTGCCAGAGAAATGGAGTTGGACATGTACCGAAAGGGTACACTACCGGCGGATTACCGGCCGCCTGTTCAAGGGAAGTGGGATGATACCATCGAGCGCTGGGCGTACGCCTGGCAATTTCCTGCAGAAGAAGAGCAAGATGATGTGGTGAGTATAGTAGAACGCAACTTCTCGGGTATGCAGGCTTTATTGGAATTTGGTGATAAGTTACTGCAATCACCACCTTCCAGTAAGCCATTTTCAGGAAAGAATTCGATGGTTTATCCTCCTATAATTGGTAAATTTGATACTGAGAAAGTAGAATTATTACCCTCTACTTCTAATTACGGGAATCTAGAACAAGATGTGTCAGAATTAGTCTCAAATGATATAGTGTGTTCCCCTCATGATACTATAACTGCAGCGGAGCTATCAGCTAGTGTTAATATTCCTGTGGCATACATTGATGATGGATCGGAGGTAAGTAATGCCAGTAAGCGACTTGCATTTATACTGGAAGATTTTGGTTTGGAATATACTGAAGATGGACTAATCGTGGTTATTTCGGCACTATCAAAACAAAATCATATTTCTATTAGTCGAGCTATTTTTGAATTTGCTTCTTCTGTTGGATTAGGACCATCTGCAGAATTGTATAAGGCGTTAATGAAACATGCTTCTCGACGTGGAGACGTAAATGAATCGATGGCTCTTATTGAGGAAATGAAGGAAAAGGGAATAACTCCTCGTATTGGTAACTGGCATGAACTCATGCGAACTTTTTATTATGCAAAAGATTACCCTGCTGTAAGTCAGATTGTAGACAATATGAAAATGTATGCAAATATTGAACCAAATGAAGTTACGTTTGCTTTGCAACTAAAAGCCCTTGCCAAGGATACTTCTCAACTTAATTCTCTTGCAGAGGCTATTCAGTTATTTGATCAAATGGAGAACGTTTACGGGTTTATTGCATCTCGTCCACACTATGATACAATGATGGCTCATCTTAGTCAAAGCCCCAAACCGGAGATGCGGCTTCGATGTGAGGAACTAGCGCACAAAATGGAACTTATGGGTATTATATGGAATGCTAATACATATCTTAATCTTATTCGATCATCTCAAGTAGTTGGAGATATAAAAGCGGTAGAAAAATATCTTTGTAAAATGCGAGATGACGGTGTTACGGTAAATATCATGCATTTATCATGGGCTATTCAAGCACATGTACAAAGTATTATTCGAATTGATTACGCTGCTATGAAGGAAAAATCAGAAGATCCTCTTCCTATATGGCTTGATCATCTTGAAACTTGTTTTGGAATTTATGACTTAGTTGTTCGACGTGGATGGACGATGCAGTTACCCTTCGTTAATTCTCTCCTTCGTTTGTGTTGTCAGGCTACCATGTTGGCTATGGAACATACACCAGATGAGGTTAAAACTATTGGAAGGTTTGAGGAACAGTCTAACAAGATTTGGAACCATACATTTGAAGAATGGCAACTGAAAAAGGATGTTTACAGTTATGAATGCTATATTGCTCTCTTAGCACATCAACAACGTATAGATGAAGCAGAAAAACTTTTTCAAGAAATGGTTTTAAAAGAGGAATTGACACCTTCTCGAAGGACTTATGATTGTTTAGTTTTTATGCACCTATCATCAGGTGAAGAAGGAGGTACGGCGAGAGCGTTAAGATATCTAGAGGCTATGGAACGTGCTGGTATTCAAATTAGACCTTCATTCCTAAAGAAGATTGTTCGTGTGAACAATGCGGCGGGATACAAACGTGATATGAAACGCCGAGCAAGGCGCATTATGCAGGCTAGAGAAGAATATCTCGCAAGAAAAGAAAGCAATGTTGGTTTTGAAGAGGGACCAACAAGAGAGGAAACTGTTGATTCAGAGGGTAATCCTGTTCTTTCTCCTCTACCTATTTCACCGACATCAACACTTGCTTGGTGGGAAAAATGGAAAAAAGAGACGTTAAGCAAGCATGAATTATTTACGGAAGAATCTGCAGATGGAACTCCAAAGGGTGAAACATTTGAAGAAAAAAATGAAGCTCTTAGACAGATGGGAATCATTTCTTCATTTCCAACCAAAGAAGATGTTCCACAGCTTAATAAGCACAAGATATTACCCCTCATTCGATCACAGGAGGGAGAAATGGCAGGTAGCCTCTGGGCAATGGACGGTGGAGAGTTTTCATATCCAAAGGATGGTGGTGGACCGCAAGGTTGGGGTGTTCGTTTATGGCGAGAACGACAAATAGTCAAACAAGAGTATAAGAAGACTCTCGACGGGTCACAACCCGTGCCTGAATTCTCGGATTTGGGTAACGCTGTTCGAAAGACTGGCGATCAGTTAGACATTGAAAGGAGTGGAGCTCAGTCATTTGGGGAACTGTCTGATTATCATCAGTTTCCCGATCACCGCTTTGACGATGGTGCGCTGAAGCCCTATTCAGAGATGGCAACACCTGTTCCTGTCTCAGCGGAATTAGTTTGGCAGGGGGAGACGCAAGACAAGTTATCACCATACAAATCTGATGAGGAGATAGCCCTTGAAAATGATAATACATTCTTCTCTGATCTATCTAAAGAGGCGAAGGAAAAGATAAACGCATCAGTAAAAGCAATTCAGAACAAAGAAGAGAATTTAGTAAGTGTTAAAGGAAAAGGTGTAACGAGACGTTCCAAGTATGACTACTTGGAGAAATGGCGAGATATGTACCGTTATGGTACACTTGAAGTCCCTGAGGGACCGACATTGCATTTTGGACGAACCCCAGATGATCATAAAGAGACGATGGCTTCTTTGGTACGGGAGTGGTATCAAAGAAATAAAAAGAGCCCTGCTACCACTGAAAACCTTCAGAGATGGGAGAACGACATGCAGAGAGACAAAGAAGCATCAGCATCAAGGAAAGCACTCAATAGGCGAGGTCGATCCAGACGTTTTCATAGAGGTGAATGATAACGTCAGCGAAACGATAATAAGAAAACATTTTTCTTTATTCGGATATCTCTAATTTCATTTTCTGTTATTATTGTTAATATTATTACTATTATTGTTTTTTTTTTTTAATGCTTATTCTGTATTCGCCTCCAATGTTTTTTTTTTTTTTTTTCTTCTTTGGTTTAATCAAAAGTATCTCTAACGTTAGGGTTAAGTTATGTGTGATTTTTCAGACAAAAAGGCGAATGTGGCATCTGCGGCTGCCTCCTTACTCGCTCACTATCCTCCTCGGAGAGGTAGATGTACTCTGGATGGTATTCTAGAATTGTGTAAATGGAGAGATTCAGAAGCTGTTTTAGACATCATAAATGAAGAAATATCACCAACAGAAACATCATGGCCTGTTATAATGTGTCCATCGTCCACAACCCAATTGCAGTCTTCAACGCACCATCGCTTTATCGCATCGGAATATAATAGAGTTGCTGACAGTTATCGTTGCCCAGTATGCAATGAATATGTGTGTAACAATGAGGTTATTGATATGTTACCCAAGACAACGGGAGTACTTCGGCAAGTTGAGTCTTCGGCGAATTCTACATTTGGCGAGTATGCTCATAAATATTATGGAAAAGATTGCACAGCTTCCGTATACACTTGGGAATGTGACCCAGAGAATAGGAACACTGTCATGGGTCTTGCTTTAATGATTAAGAATCGTTATAAAACTACAGATGACACTAGCTCGGGGGATTTTAGCAAACAGGGAGCGCGTGGTGTATGGCAGAGCGCCCATGTGGGTGTTGTGGACATTTCCACAGGTACGTATCACTTTCAGAGTTCATTTTATCTGGATATTGCTCTTCCTTTATGTTCAGCAGAAACTATGGCGGGCCCCCGAGCACGGTTCAATGGGAATGTGGCGTCAACAATGTTTTGTTTTGAGCGTCACGCCACAGTAACACCGCTAAAGCTGGACGACCTTATAGCCTCTATTGGAGAACAAGTACAATCAACTGAAAACAGTTTTCGTAGTCGTCTTGTTGAGATATACTTTGGAAAGGCAGAGTCAGTTGCCCATGGGATTCGCACGGCACCTCAGACTGCAGTTTCCATATCGCCTCAAAATAAGAGCGAAGAACATCCTGGTCGTTTTCAACCATCAGAAACTCCTTTAGTATCAACCATTGACAGTGGGCGCAGGCACAAAACAGATTCAGACCTTAATACTCAACGACAATTGGATCAAGTTTGTAATCTAAGTAAACCGAAAGATAAAAGTGAACTGTACTATCCATTACAAGATGAAGATGTCCAAGTTGATGAATGGATTAAAGTGTACGATGACCAAGGAAATCCTTATTATTATAATGAAGAAACAGGCGAAACTTTATGGAATAAACCTTCTAACGAGACTATTGTATTGGGTATTCTCCAGAGTTTAAATCTGGCGAATCCGCCAGAAAAGTACTATCGAAAGATGAGAAAATATTTTAGACATTACGGCATGCCATTTAATCTTAGCGCGTTCCTATCACTAATAAATGATGACCAAATACTTGAACTAGATGATGGTTCGACAGTAACTGCGTTAGAATATCTTGTGCCTGTCTATGGTGACCGCCGCAAAATACACGTATACATATCTCAAACCCAGCAAAACAGTCTGTCAAAATAGTTATACATCTAATCGAGTCGTTTTCTCCCCTCTTTTTTGATATTGCTAGTTACACCAAAAGTTTTATCGCTTATATACAGTATACTCTTCACATTTTCTCAATTAAAACTAATTTACAGAAAGAAAACACTTCTGCAGACGTGGGTTTTTTTTTTTTTTTTTTGCTAACGTTATTATTATTTGTTGTTGTCCTTTTGTTTTATCTTTTGAAGCTTCCAATACGTTACGAACACTATAAAGAATCTCATCGTCTCCGTACAACCGGAAGTTGTGCAGTGGCGCCGCTACATCCATGAAAACCCCTGCTTGAGTCATGAAGAACAACCGACAGCAGATTATGTTGCAGACATACTCAGGAAAATGCCAGCACCTCTTGATATCAAGCGATTAACACCAACCAGTGTAATCGCAGATCTCCAGGGTGGTGCTGGAGAGGGTCCCATGTACGCACTGCGTGCAGATATGGATGCCCTGCCATTACAGGAGGAAAGTGGAGAGCCCTTCAGTTCGAAAAAGCCTGGTGTAATGCATGCCTGTGGTCATGACACGCATACTGCAATGCTTCTTGGTGCTGTAAAGGTGCTTTGTCAAGTTAAGGACAAGATTCGTGGCACTGTGCGGTTTATCTTCCAACATGCTGAGGAGGTTAGTCCAAGTGGTGCAAAGCAGTTGGTGGAGCTTGGTGTACTTGATGGTGTGAAGATGATTTTTGGGCTTCACAATTGTCCACTAACACCTCCTGGTAAGGTGAAGACACGTCCTGGAGTTTTCAGTGCTGCTGTTTTTGATTTTGACATTGTGATCAAGGGTAGGGGCGGTCATGCTTCAGCTCCCAACAAGTGTATTGACCCTATTGTTATTGCATCGCATATTGTAATGGGTATGCTTGGTATACCACGTCAGTTTACGGCACAGACGGCCCCTGTTGTAAGTGTGACAACAATCACTGGTGGAACGGGGAGTTTCAATGTCATTCCAGACACTGCGCAAATAAAGGGTACGATTCGTACAATTGATAGAAAGGCAGAGGAGGAAGCTCCTGCGCTACTGAAGAAAATGGTTGAGGGTGTTTGTGCCATACACGGTGCTGATTTCACTATTGACTGGCCTGAACCTGTGTACTCAACATACAATAGCCAAGAGGCCTTTGACTTATGGAAGTCTGCTATTGATGCCTCCCTTGGATCGGATGCATTTATCTTGCAGTCTGAACCCAATTTTGGTGCTGAGGACTTCTCAGAGTATCAGCGGGTTGTGCCGGGTTGTTACGCCAACATTGGTGTACGGAATGAGGCCATTGGAGCAGTGCATAACTGCCACAGCTCAAAGTACAAGGTTGATGAGGCCGGGTTTTTGACAGGCGTAAAGGTTCATGTGGCGTTGATTGAGAGCCTTATGATGAAATAAAGTCAAGAAAAAGAAATTTATTTAGTCTAACTGGTACGTTCGACCATTACATTTTTCTTTTATTTATTTGATAGCCATTCCCACTATGTTAAAGCGTAAAATAAATAAAGAAACATACGATGGGATGTGCTTTTTTGTTGTAATTCTTCTTTTTTCAATGTGTCTTCAAGCTGTTAGGCTGCTCAGGATATTTTTTTTTTCTGTTATCCCAAGAATTTGGAGGTCCCACGTAACCCACCCCATCGTTCCGGGGGATTGTAACCAAATCAAGTGAAAAGACTTTCGATGAACAACTGATGTCACATCTTTGTAGAAGACGGGGTTTCTATTATCGTTTGTATTACAACCATCCTAAGCATTGTTTTCTTTGTTTTTACTTACTTGCTCTCCCGACTCTTTTTAACAAGGGTAAGCTAAAAAAGCATGTCTTTCATTCACACTCTAATTACAGCTGTACAACCGGAAGTTGTGCAGTGGCGCCGCTACATCCATGAAAACCCCTGCTTGAGTCACGAAGAACAACCGACAGCAGATTATGTTGCAGACATACTCAGTAAAATGCCAGCACCTCTTGATATCAAGCGATTAACACCAACCAGTGTAATCGCAGATCTCCAGGGTGGTGCTGGAGAGGGTCCCATGTACGCACTGCGTGCAGATATGGATGCCCTGCCATTACAGGAGGAAAGTGGAGAGCCCTTCAGTTCGAAAAAACCTGGTGTAATGCATGCCTGTGGTCATGATGCGCATACTGCAATGCTTCTTGGTGCTGTAAAGGTGCTTTGTCAAGTTAAGGACAAAATTCGTGGCACTGTGCGATTTATCTTCCAACATGCTGAGGAGGTTATCCCAAGTGGTGCAAAGCAGTTGGTGGAGCTTGGTGTACTTGATGGTGTGAAGATGATTTTTGGGCTCCATGTTGCTGCTGCCATACCTGCAGGTAAAATTGCTTCACGCTGTGGAACTCTATATGGATCCTGTGATGACTTTGACATTGTGATCAAGGGTGCTGGTGGACACGCCTCTCAGCCTGAGCTCTGTATTGACCCCATTGTGATTGGCGCCCAAGTTGTTACAAGTCTGCAGACCATCGTCTCACGCCGCATTGGTGCGCTGACAGCTCCTGTTCTGAGTGTGTCAACGTTCCACGGCGGCACTGGAAGCTACAATGTGATCCCCGACAGTGTACATCTGCGCGGCACACTGCGGTGTCTGGACCGTGACGTTCAGGCACGTGTGCCTCGTATGGTGGAGGAGATCGTTGCTGGTGTTGCCAAGGCACACGGCGCCCAGCACGAAGTAACTTGGCTGGAGCCAAACATTGTGACGTACAACGACCCAGCGGCGTATGAAATTGTAAAAAGCGTCGTTTCTGAGTTTGTGGCTGCGGATGCTTTTGTTGAACTGGAGCATCCC